GTGTTTAGTTAGGAGTGGGGTTTAGTTAGTGTGTTTATTTAGGAGTGTGTTTAGTTGGGAGTGTGTTTAGTTAGGAGTTTTGTTTAGTTAGGAGTTTTGTTTAGTTAGTGTGTTTATTTAGGGTGTTGTTAGTTAGGGGTTTGGTTTAGTTAGGAGTGGGGTTTAGTTAGGGTGTGTTTAGTTAGTGTGTTTAGTTAGGAGTGTGTTTTTTAGGAGTGTGTTTAGTTAGTGTGTTTAGTTGGAGTGTGTTTAGTTGGAGTGTGTTTAGTTGGGGTTTGTGTTTAGTTAGGAGTGTTTTTAGTTAGGAGTGTGTTTAGTTAGGAGGTGTTTAGTTAGGGGGGTTTTGTTTGGAGTTGTTTAGTTAGGGTGTGTTTAGTTAGGGTGTGTTTAGTTAGTGTGTTTAGTTAATGTGTTTAGTTAGGAGGTGTTTAGTTAGGAGTGTTTTTAGTTAGGAGTGTGTTTATTTAGGAGTTTTTAGTTAGGAGTGTGTTTGTTAGGAGTGTGTTTAGTTAGTTGTGTTTTAGTTAGGAGTGTGTTTAGTTAGGAGGGGGTTTAGTTAGGAGTGTGTTTAGTTAGGTGTTTAGTTAGGAGTGTGTTTAGTTGGGAGTGTGTTTAGTTCGGAGTGTGTTTTTAGTTAGGAGGTGTTTAGTTAGGAGTTGTGTTTAGTTAGGAGTGTTTTTAGTTAGGAGTGTGTTTAGTTAGTGTGTTTAGTTAGGAGTGTTTTTAGTTCGGGTGTGTTTAGTTAGTGTGTTTAGTTAGGAGTGTGTTAGTTAGGAGTGGTTTATTTAGTGTGTTTAGTTAGGAGTGCGTTTAGTTAGTGTGTTTAGTTAGGAGTGTGTTTAGTTAGGAGTGGTGTTTATTTAGTTGTGTTTGTTAGGAGTGCGTTTAGTTAGGAGTGTGTTTTAGTTAGTTTTTTTTTAGTTAGGAGTGTGTTTAGTTAGGAGTGTGTTTAGTTAGGAGTGTGTTTAGTTAGGATTTGTGTTTAGTTAGGAGTGTGTTTTAGTTAGGAGTGTGTTTAGTTAGGGTGTGTTTTAGGATTTGTGTTTAGTTAGGTGTTTAGTTAGGAGGGGTTTTAGTTAGTGTGTTTAGTTAGGGGGGTGGTTTTGTTAGGAGTGTGTTTAGTTAGGAGTGTGTTTATTTAGGAGTGGTGTTTAGTTAGTGTGTTTAGTTAGGAGTGTGTTTAGTTAGTGTGTTTAGTTAGGAGTGTGTTTAGTAGGAGTGGTTTAGTTAGGGTGTGTTTAGTTAGGAGGTTGGTTTAGGTTAGTTTTTGTTTAGTTAGAGGTGTTTAGTTAGGAGTGTGTTTAGTTTAGTGTGTTTAGTTAGTTGTTGTTAGGGAGTGTGTTTAGTAGGGTTGTTTAGTTAGGAGTGTGTTTAGTTAGGAGTGTGTTTAGTTAGGAGTGTGTTTAGTTAGTGTGTTTAGTTAGGAATGTGTTTAGTTAGGATTTGTGTTTAGTTATTGTGTTTAGTTAGGGGGTGTTTAGTTAGGAGTGTGTTTGTTAGTTGTGTTTAGTTGGGGTTTGCGTTTAGTTGTGTGTTTAGTTGAGTGTTTTGTTTATTTTTTAGGGGTGTGTTGGTTGTGTGTTTTTGTTGGGAGTTGCGTTTGTTAGGAGTGTGTTAGTTAGTGTGTTTGTTGGGTGTGTTTAGTTGGAGTGTGTTTTAGTTGGGTGGTTTTTGGGAGTGTGTTTAGTTAGGAGTGTGGTTTTAGTTGGAGTGTGTTTAGTTAGGGGTGTTAGTTAGGAGTGTGTTTAGTAGGAGTGTGTTTTTTAGGAGTGCGTTTAGTTAGTGTGTTTAGTTAGGAGGGGGTGTTAGTTAGGGAGTTTTGTTTAGTTGTGTGTTTATTAGGGGGTGCGTTATTTAGGGTGTGTTTAGTTAGGGGTTTTTAGTTAGGAGTGGTTTAGTTAGGGTGTGTGTTATTTTTAGGAGTGTGTTTAGTTCGGAGTGTGTTTAGTTAGGAGTTGTTTTTAGTTGAGTGTGTTTAGTTGGAGTGTGTTTAGTTGGGGGTTTTAGTTGGTGTTTAGTTAGGAGTGGTTATTTAGGTGTTTAGTTAGGAGTGCGTTTATTTAGGATTTGGGGTTTAGTTGGAGGGTGTTTAGTTAGGAGTGTGTTTAGTTAGTGTGTTTAGTTAGGAGTGTGTTTAGTTAGTGTGTTTAGTTAGGAGTGTGTTAGTTAGGAGTGTGTTAGTTAGGAGTGTTTTTATTTAGGAGTGTGTTTAGTTGGGAGTGTGTTTAGTTATTTGGGTGTTGTGTTTAGTTAGGAGTGTGTTTAGTTGGGAGTGTGTTTAGTTAGTTTTGTTTAGTTAGTGTGTTTAGTTAGGAGTGCGTTTAGTTAGGAGTGTGTTTAGTTAGGAGTGTGTTTAGTTAGGAGTGTGTTTAGTTAGGAGTGTGTTTAGTTAGGAGTGTGTTTAGTTAGTGTGTTTAGTTAGGAGTGTGTTTAGTTAGGAGTGTGTTTAGTTAGTGTGTTTGTTAGGGTGTGTTTAGTTAGGGTGTGTTTGTTAGTGTGTTAGTTAGGGTGGTTTGTAGTGTGTTTTAGGTTAGGAGTGTGTTTAGTTCGGAGTGTGTTTAGTAGTGTGTTTAGTTAGGAGTGCGTTTAGTTGGAGTGTGTTTAGTTAGTGTGTTTAGTTAGGAGTGTGTTTAGTTAGGAGTGTGTTTTAGTTAGGAGTGTGTTTAGCTTAGAAGTGTGTTTACGTTAGGAGTGTGTTTGTGTTAGGAGTGTGTTTAGTTAGGAGTTGTGTTTAGTTAGGAGTGTGTTTAGTTAGGAGTGTGTTTAGTTAGTGTGTTTAGTTAGGAGTGCGTTTAGTTAGTGTGTTTAGTTAGGAGTGCGTTTAGTTAGGAGTGTGTTTAGTTAGGAGTGTGTTTAGTTAGGAGTGTCTTTAAGTTAGTTTGTTTAGTTAGGAGTGGTTTAGTAGGTGTGTTAGTTAGGGAGTGTGTTTAGTTAGTGAGTGTGTTTAGTTAGGAGTGTGTTTAGTTAGGGAGTGTGTTTAGTTAGTGTGGTTTTAGTTCGTGTGTTTAGTTAGTGTGTTAGTTAGGAGTGTGTTAGTTAGGAGTGTGTTGTTAGGAGTGTGTTTAGTTAGGAGTGTGTTTAGTTAGTGTGTTTAGTTAGGAGTGTGTTTAGTTAGGAGTGTGTTTAGTTAGGAGTGTGTTTAGTTAGGAGTGTGTTTAGTTAGGAGTGTGTTTAGTTAGGAGTGTGTTTAGTTAGGAGTGTGTTTAGTTAGTGTGTTTAGTTAGGAGTGTGTTTAGTTAGGAGTGTGTTTAGTTAGTGTGTTTAGTTAGGAGTGCGTTTAGTTAGGAGTGTGTTTAGTTAGTGTGTTTAGTTAGGAGTGTGTTTAGTTAGGAGTGTGTTTAGTTAGGAGTGTGTTTAGTTAGTGTGTTTAGTTAGTGTGTTTAGTTAGGAGTGTGTTTAGTTAGGAGTGTGTTTAGTTAGGAGTGTGTTTAGTTAGGAGTGTGTTAGTTAGTGTGTTAGTAGGAGTGTGTTTAGTAGGAGTGTTTAGTGTGTGTTTAGTTAGGAGTGTGTTTAGTTAGTGTGTTTAGTTAGGAGTGTGTTAGTTAAGATGTGTTTAGTTAGGAGTGTGTTTAATTAGGAGTGTGTTTAGTTAGGAGTGTGTTGAGTTAGGAGTGTGTTTAGTTAGGGTGTGTTTGAAGGGAATCCCTATCTGCTCTGCCTTTTTTAATCAGTTATTTTGAAAGTCACCCTATTATATAGAAGTAACCCAACGTGGTACTAGATATGTAGGTAGCGTGTGAAAAAGAAGAGGACCCGAGCACGCCCCCATTCTCATCGACGGGGCTGTAGTGGAGCAGGTTGAGAGCTTCAAGTTCCTTGGTGTCCACATCACCAACAAACTAACATGGTCCAAGCACACCAAGACAGTCATGAAGAGGGCACGACAAAACCTATTTCCCCCTAAGGAGACTGAAAAGGTTCTATAGCTGCACCATCAACAGCATCCTGACTGGTTGCATCACTGCCTGGTATGGCAACTGCTCGGCCTCCGACCGTAAGGCACTACAGAGAGCAATGCGTACGGCCCAGTACATCACTGGGGCCAAGCTTCCTGCCATCCAGGACCTCTATACCAGGCGGTGTCAGAGGAAGGCCCTAAAAATTGTCAAAGACTCCAGCCACCCTAGTCATAGACTGTTCTCTCTGCTACTGCACAGCAAGCGGTACCGGAGCGCCAAGTCTAGGTCCAAGAGGCTTCTAAACAGCTTCTACCCCCAATCCATAAGACTCCTGAATATCTAATCAAATGGTTACCCAGACTATTTGCATGCTACTCTCTGTTTATTATCTATGCATAGTCACTTTAATAACTCTACCTACATGTACATATTACCTCGACTAACCGGTGCCCCCGCACATTGACTCGGTACCGGTACCCCCCTGTATATAGCCTCGCTATTGTTATTTTACTGCTGCTCTTTCATTATTTGTTACTTTTATTTCGTATGATTTTATTTTATATTTTTTTGTGATTTTTTTTGGTCTTCTTTCTTAAACTGCATTGTTGGTTAAGGGCTTGTAAGTAAGCATTTCCCTGTAAAGTCTACACCTGTTGTATTCGGCGCATGTGACAAATACAATTTGATTTGATTTGATTTTGACTGTGACTGTGTGTGTATTAGTGAAACCTCCCCCCATCCCTCCCTAAGCCACCCCTCACCAATTCCTGGAATGGACCAGCCCTCATTTGCCTAAGTTGTCTGTGACAGAGAAGCTTGGCGAGCTGCAGAGTTATGGTACAGAGGAGCAGTGTATGTCGACTACAGAGCATATGAACAGAGACTGACTACTGGAGTCTATACTACAGGACTATACTGAGACACTACTGACTACTGGAGTCTATACTACAGGACTATACTGAGACACTACTGACTACTGGAGTCTATACTACAGGACTATACTGAGACACTACTGACTACTGGAGTCTATACTACAGGACTATACTGAGACACAACTGAAGCTACTGGACTATTGAACTGAAACTGAAACTGAACAGCATCATGTACTGTGCTTCCTATCCTGTGTCTGCCGGGACCACCAGCAATAACCTGATGTATTGCTACGTCAAATCGGTGAGTGTGTTTCCACTCTCTAGATAAAACGTGTGTACCGGTCTGTGTACGTACTGTCTTTGTGAATGATTGGATGTAATTAGATGTTCTTCATTCCTATTATCTCTCCTACTCTTGATAATTACTATAGCGGGGGGGGGCATTCAACTCTTACCCTACGAGGTCCGGAGCCTGCTGGTTTTCTGTTCTGCTTGAAAATTAATTTCACCCACTTGTCCCAGGTCTAAATCAGTCCCTGATTAGAGGGGAACAATGAGAAAATGCGGTGGAACTGGCTTCGAGGACCAGAGTTGAGTTTGAACATAGATAAAACAGAGTTCTCTACATATCTCTACATAGTTCTCTTTATTTTATATTCTCTCCATTATCTATATTCTCTGTCACGAGTTATCTTCATTATCCTCATGTACACATAAGACATGGAATAAGGCATAGATCATTTAAATACATTATCAATATGTTCACTATCAATGTAACAATACCTTATCATAGAATAGTACAGTATTGACACATCAAAGTAAGCCTACTCTATCCACTGTGTGTGGTAGCTGGTCCTTAATTGTCATTTATCACACCAGGGAGTCCATGCAGACTACATTCTATACCATTCACACCAGGGAGTCCATGCAGACTACATTCTATACCATTCACACCAGGGAGTCCATTCAGACTACATTCTATACCATTCACACCAGGGAGTCCATGCAGACTACATTCTATACCATTCACACCAGGCAGTCCATTCAGACTACATTCTATACCATTCACACCAGGGAGTCCGTGCAGACTACATTCTATACCATTCACACCAGGGAGTCCATTCAGACTACATTCTATACCATTCACACCAGGGAGTCCATTCAGACTACATTCTATACCATTCACACCAGGGAGTCCATGCAGACTACATTCTATACCATTCACACCAGGGAGTCCATGCAGACTACATTCTATACCATTCACACCAGGGAGTCCATTCAGACTACATTCTATACCATTCACACCAGGGAGTCCATGCAGACTACATTCTATACCATTCACACCAGGGAGTCCATTCAGACTACATTCTATACCATTCACACCAGGGAGTCCATGCAGACTACATTCTATACCATTCACACCAGGGAGTCCATTCAGACTACATTCTATACCATTCACACCAGGGAGTCCATTCAGACTACATTCTATACCATTCACACCAGGGAGTCCATTCGGACTACATTCCATACAAGTACAGGAACAGACCCTTTGATATACAGCTACCCAAATGTTAAGGCAGCAACCATGTGTTTGAGTGTGTAAGGGTTAGGAATGGGCACATATGGCTGTGTGTGTCTGGGAAGGGATATTACTGTGTGGTGAGTGGGAATGGGACTGGGTGTGCTTTTCAGTCAGTGTTGTCGGTGTTCATTTATTAACTTTGGCAAAGTTTAGAATCTCTGTGGTTTCATTGTGACTGAAGTTGATGAATGGTGCTGTAGAATTTCTTTGATTTCTTTGATCATGCAGTTCTTTAATACATACTGAAGTGACATTGACCATTTACTCTTGACTGTGTGGTCAGTGAGTTTAGTAGCACACATCAATGGTCAATACACCGTGCTAATGATCAAGATCCCTCTTTCAGTTCAGACAGACCTGAGAACACAACATATATCATTCTAATTTGACCGTCTACCATTTTTTTTTGACGTGAAGCAGATTGCTGCTCTGATCTCTATTTAATTTAACCGTGGTCTGTTTTAACACTGGTCCCTATATGGCCCATTACCAGGCGCTATCAAAGACTGCTTTGATCTCTGTAACTAACTAGAACCAGACGTACGCACCAGACACAGACGGGCAAATTGGCTGCATGTGGCTAGAGTTGAATGTGGTGTTAATACAGGGGGCAGAGGCTGTTGAATAGTTGGTCATTACACTCATGAAATATTCCTGTGTATGATTGAAAGTATACATTTAGAGTGCAACATGTGGTCTTGTCCTCTTTCATGTCTTCTCAATATATTTAAGTCCTTTAGTTTTTGTTGCTATCAGAGATGCTAACGTAACGCAGAACTATTTAGTTTTTGTTGCTATCAGAGATCCTAACGTAACACAGAACTATTTAGTTTTTGTTGCTATCAGAGATCCTAACGTAACACAGAACTATTTAGTTTTTGTTGCTATCAGAGATGCTACCGTAACACAGAACTATTTAGTTTTTGTTGCTATCAGAGATGCTACCGTAACACAGAAATATTTAGTTTTTGTTGCTATCAGAGATGCTAACCAACACAGAACTATTTAGTTTTTGTTGCTATCAGAGATCCTAACGTAACACAGAACTATTTAGTTTTTGTTGCTATCAGAGATCTTAACGTAACACAGAACTATTTAGTTTTTGTTGCTATCAGAGATGCTAACGTAACACAGAACTATTTAGTTTTTGTTGCTATCAGAGATGCTAACGTAACACAGAACTATTTAGTTTTTGTTGCTATCAGAGATGCTAACGTAACACAGAACTATTTAGTTTTTGTTGCTATCAGAGATGCTAACGTAACACAGAACTATTTAGTTTTTTGTTGCGATCAGAGATGCTAACGTAACACAGAACTATTTCGTTGTTGTTGCTATCAGAGAAGCTAACGTAACGCAGAACTATGAACATGTCTCATATTGTATGTGTCTGTCTTCCTTTAGTTGTGTTCTTCACATATGGAGAGTCTAATCTTTAGTGATCCCTTGATTGATGGTTAGTAAATCAATGTGGTACTAAAAGAGAACACCATGATGACGGTTTATGTATGCATGCTTCAGGGTGTGTGTCGGGGGGTGTTATTGGGGGACAGCGGGAGACAGCAGGGGTGTGCTGGGGCGGGGGTGTGACCATTATTAACGGGTCGCATACTACGTCCAAGGAGTGTGTGTGTGTGTGTGTTTGTGTGGGTTATTAACGGGTCGCCTGCTCCGTCCCATGGTAAGGAGGACAATTGGCTTTATCCTGTACCATATGCTACCCACGGAGGCTCAGACAGGGCTAGTGTTGTGTGTGTGTGTGTGTGTGTGTGGTGTGTGTGTGTGTGTGATAAACAAGGCTAGTGACGGCAGGGGCTCCTATGTTTGGCCTGTTCCCACATTCACCACAGGACTCGTGCCAGCCAGGGTTACGGTGTGTGTGTGGGGGGGGGGGCGTTGTGTGTATGGTGTGGTGTGTTGTGGTGGGGGGGGGGGCGTTGTGTGTATGGTGTGTGTGTGTGGTGTGTGTGGAGAGGGGTTGTGTGTATGGTGTGTGTGGGGGGGGGGGGCAGTTGTGTGTATGGTTGTGTTGTGGTGGTGTGTGGGAGAGGGGGGGTTGTGTGTATGGTGTGTGGTGTGTGTGGAGAGGGGTTGTGGTGTATGGTGTGTGTGTGTGGGGGGGGGGGGCGTTGTGTGTATGGTGTGTGTGTGTGTGTGGAGATGGGGTTGTGTGTTATGGTGTGTGTGGGGGGGGGGGCGTTGTGTGTATGAGGTGTGTGTGTGTGTGTGGAGAGGGGTTGTGTGGTTGTTATGTGTGTGTGTGTGGGTGGGGGGGGTGTTGTGTGTGATGTGTGTGTGTGTGTGTGGAGAGGGGTTGTGTGTATGGTGTGTGTGTGTGTGTGTGGAGGGGGTGGTGTTGTGTGTATGGTGTGTGTGTGTGTGTGTGGAGAGGGGTTTGTGTGTGTTGTGTGGTTGTGTTGTGTGTGTGGTGGTGTGTTGTGTGTGTGTAGAGTTGGTGTGTTGTGTGTGTGTGGTGTGTGGGTGTGTGTGTGTGTGGGTGGTGTATGGTGTGTGTGTGGTGTGTGAGGGTGGGTGTGTGTTGCTGTGGTTGTTGAGTGAGTTGTTAGTGTGTCAGTCAGGGTTGGTTGTGTGTGTGTGTGTGTGGGTGGGGTGTGGTGGTGTGGTGTGTGGTGGTGGGTAGGTTGTGTGTAGTTGAGAGTTGAGGTGATTCATTTAGATCTACATGATCGTGTCATTACATTTGTTTATATAATAACATTTATGTATGTGTGTGTTCTGGCAGTTCTTTTCTAGGTGAGACAAAAGTCTCATACACCTGTGAAACTGTGGTGTGATCCTGCTGTCTGAAGAGGATTTATCCAATATGATTCTGCAGCGTTTTCCACATGAAGATCTATCTATACCAATCTATCCCAACCCTCCCTCCCTCCAGGGCTGTGCGGTGACAGGGAGGAAATGCTGTTCCCTAAATCCGGATGAGGAGATGCATGGATCACCCAGTTTAGGGATTAACACAATAGCTCTAAGTCTGCTCCTATCAACACACTGATTGTGTGTACTGTACTGTAGTGTACTTTAGTATTCTGTAGTATTCTGTTGTGTACTGTAGTGTACTGTAGTATTCTGTAGTGTACTGTAGTGTACTGTAGTATTCTGTAGTGAACTTTAGTATTATGTAGTGTACTGTAGTGTACTGTAGTGTACTGTAGTATTCTGTAGTGTACTGTAGTGTACTGTATATTATGTAGTGTACTGTAGTATTCTGTAGTGTATTGTAGTATTCTGTACTGTAGTGTACTGTACTATTCTGTAGTACTCTGTAGTGTACTGTAGTATTCTGTAGTGTACTGTATATTCTGTAGTGTTCTTTAGTATTATGTAGTGTACTGTAGTATTCTGTAGTGTATTTTAGTATTCTGTAGTGTACTGTAGTATTCTGTAGTGTACTGTAGTATTCTGTAGTGTACTGTAGTGTACTGTAGTGTACTGTAGTATGCTGTTGTGTACTGGTTTATTATGTAGTGTACTGTAGTGTACTGTAGTATACTGTAGTATTATGTAGTATACTGTAGTGTACTGTAGTATGCTGTAGTGTACTGTATTATTCGGTAGTGTACTGTAGTGTACTGTAGTATACTGTAGTATTCTGTAGTATACTGTAGTGTACTGTAGTATTATGTAGTGTACTGTAGTATTCTGTAGTGTACTCTAGTGTACTGTAGTATTCTGTAGTGTACTGTATATTCTGTTGTGTACTGTAGTATGATGTAGTGTACTGTAGTATTCTGTAGTATTCTGTAGTGTACTGTAGTATTCTGTAGTATTCTGTAGTGTACTATAGTGTACTGTAGTGTACTGTAGTATTCTGTTGTGTACTGCATTATTATGTAGTATTCTGTAGTGTACTGTAGTATTCAGTAGTATTATGTAGTGTACTGTAGTGTACAGTAGTATTCTGTAGTGTACTATACTGTAGTATTATGTAGTAAATTGTAGTGTACTGTAGTATGCTGTAGTATTCTGTAGTGTACTGTAGTATACTGTAGTGTACTGTAGTATGATGTTGTGTACTGTAGTATTCTGTAGTGTACTGTAGTATGCTGTAATGTACTGTGGTGTACTGTAGTGTACTGTAGCTTCAGTTCACAGTTCTGGCATTGCATTGGTCCATAGACATATACAGTGAGGGAAAAAAGTATTTGATCCCCTGCTGATTTTGTACGTTTGCCCACTGACAAAGAAATTATCAGTCTATAATTTTAATGGTAGGTTTATTTTAACAGTGAGAGACAGAATAACAACAAAAAAATCCAGAAAAACGCATGTCAAAAATGTTATAAATTGATTTGCATTTTAATGTGGGAAATAAGTATTTGACCCCCTCTCAATCAGAAAGATTTCTGGCTCCCAGGTGTCTTTTATACAGGTAGCGAGCTGAGATTAGGAGCACACTCTTAAAGGGAGTGCTCCTAATCTCAGTTTGTTACCTGTATAAAAGAGACCTGTCCACAGAAGCAATCAATCAATCAGATTCCAAACTCTCCACCATGGCCAAGACCAAAGAGCTCTCCAAGGATGTCAGGGACAAGATTGTAGACCTACGCAAGGCTGGAATGGGCTACAAGACCATCGCCAAGCAGCTTGGTGAGAAGGTGACAACAGTTGGTGCGATTATTCGCAAATGGAAGAAACACAAAATAACTGTCAATCTCCCTCGGCCTGGGGCCATGTACCGTCAAATCTTGGGTGAGAACCTCCTTCCATCAGCCAGGGCATTGAAAATGGGTCGTGGATGGGTATTCCAGCATGACAATGACCCAAAACACACGGCCAAGGCAACAAAGGAGTGGCTCAAGAAGAAGCACATTAAGGTCCTGGAGTGGCCTAGCCAGTCTCCAGACCTTAATCCCATAGAAAATCTTTGGAGGGAGCTGAAGGTTCGAGTTGCCAAACGTCAGCCTCGAAACCTTAATGACTTGGAAAAGATCTGCAAAGAGGAGTGGATCAAAATCCCTCCTGAGATGTGTGCAAACCTGGTGGCCAACTACAAGAAACGTCTGACCTCTGTGATTGCCAACAAGGGTTTTGCCACAAAGTAGTAAGTCATGTTTTGCAGAGGGGTCAAATACTTATTTCCCTCATTAAAAAGTAAATCAATTAATAACATTTTTGACATGCGTTTTTCTGGATTTTTTTGTTGTCATTCTGTCTCTCGCTGTTCAAATAAACCTACCATTAAAATTATAGACTGATCATGTCCTTGTCAGTGGGCAAACGTACAAAATCAGCAGGGGATCAAATACTTTTTTCCCTCACTGTATTAACATGTATTCATAGGCTTTACTGTATATGTATTTATACACACTGAGTATACCAAACATTAGGAACACCTTCCTAATATTGAGTTGCACCACCTTTTCCCTCAGAACAGCCTCAATTCGTTGGGCCATGGACTCTACAAGGTGTCGAAAGCATTCCACAGGGATTCTGGCCCATGTTCACTCCTATCCTTCCCACAGTTGATTGGCAAGATGGCGCCAACAGACATGGCAGCTCTGCTTCTAGCTCCTAAGCAACTTTGCAGTATTTTGTTTTTTTGTGTGTTATTTCTTACATAATTAGCCCAGATTTTTTTTTGTGTTATTGCATACAGCCGGAAATAACTTTTGGAAATCAGAGCGGTGGTAACTCACCAACATTACGACCAGGAATACGACTTTCCCGAATTGGATCCTTTGTTCGTACCCCCCAGGGCAATTGAACTTATCCCAGAGGCTGCTCCAAGATGCAGTCGGCGGAGAAGAGGTATTCGGAGTGGACTTCTAGTCCGACTCAGGAGGCGTGCACACCATCCACCGCTTCCGAGTATATTACTCGCTAATGTTCAGTCTCTGGAAAATAAAGTAGACGAACTCAGGGCGAGGATTTCCTTCCAGAGAGACATCAGGGACTGTAACATACTCTGTTTCACGGAATCATGGCTCTCTCCGGATATACTGTCCCCGTCCATACAGCCAGCTGGGTTCTTAGTACATCGCGCAGACAGGAAAAAAGAACTCTCCGGGAAGAAGAAAGGCAGTGGTGTATGTTTCATGATTAACTACTCATGATGTGATTGTGATAACATACAGAAACTCAGGTCCATTTGTTCACCAGACCTAGAATACCTCATAATCAAATGCCGACCGTATTACCTACCAAGAGAATTCTCTTCGGTTATAGCCACAGCCGTGTATATTCCCCCTCAAGCCGATACCACGACGGCCCTCAAGGAACTACACTGGACTTTATGCAAACTGGAAACCACATATCCTGAGGCCACATTTATTGTAGCTGGGGATTTTAACAAAGCACATTTGAGGAAAACCCTACCGAAGTTCTATCAACACATATGTAGTACTCGCTCTGGTAAAACACTCGACCACTGCTATTCCCCATTCCGGGATGCCTACAAGACCCTCCCCCGCCCTCCCTTCGGCAAATCCGATCACGACTCCATTTTGCTCCTCCCTTACTATAGGCAAAAACGTGAACAGGAAGTACCCGTGCTAAGGTCTATTCAACGCTGGTCTGATCAATCGAAATCCATGCTTCAAGATTGTTTTGATCACACGGACTGGGATATGTTCCGGGTAGCCTCTGAGAATAACATTGACATATACACGGACACGGTGACTGAGTTCATTAGGAAGTGTATAGGGGATGTTGTTCCCACTGTGACTATTAAAACCTACCCAAACCAGAAACCATGGATAGATGGCAGCATTCGCACAAAACTGAAAGCGCGAACCACCGCATTTAACCATGGCAAGGTGACTGGGAATATGCTTGAAAACAAACAGTGTAGTTATTCCCTCCGTAAGGCAATCAAACAGGCAAAACGTGAGTGCAGAGACAAAGTGGAGTCGCAATCAACGGCTCAGACACGTGAGATATTGTCACGATCGTCGTTAATAGAGGAGGACCAAGGCGCAGCGTGTTGAGCGAACATACTTTAATTAGTTAAAGTGCAAACACGATACAAAACAACAAAACGACTCGTAACGTCCTAGGTAACAATGACCAGCTGGAACAAAAACCCACAAACACCAAGGGAAAACAGACAGTTTAAATATGGCTCCCAATCAGAGACAACCAGCCACAGCTGACACTCGTTGCCTCTGATTGGGAGTCACTCAGGCCAACAAAGAAACAGAAGAACTAGAACCCCCAACATAGAAATACACCACATAGAATGAACACACCCTGGCTCAACATATAGAGTCCCAGAGCCAGGGTGTGACAGATATGTGGCAGGGTCTACAGACAATCACGGATTACAAAGGGAAAACCAGCCACCGACGTCTTGCTACCGGACAAACTAAACACCTTCTTCGCCCGCTTTGAGGATAACATGGTGCCATCGACGCGGCCCGCTCCCAAGGACTGTGGGCTCTCATTCTCCGTGGCCGAAGTGAGTAAGACATTTAAGCGTGTTAACCCTCGCATTGCTGCCTGCCCACCCCTGTCATCATGAAGTGCTATGAGAGGCTAGTTAAGGATCATATCACCTTTACCTTCAATTTGCTTACCGCCCCAATAGATCCGCAGATGATGCAATTGACATCGCACTGCACACTGCCCTATCCCACCTGGACAAGAGGAATACCTACGTAAGAATGCTGTTTATTGACTATAGCTCAGCCTTCAACACCATAGTACAAGCTCATCATTAAGCTTGGGGCCCTGGGTCTGAACCCCGCCCTGTGCAACTAGGTCCTGGACTTCCTGACAGCCGCCCCCAGGTGGTGAAGGTAGGAAACAACACCTCCACTTCGCTGATCCTCAACACAGGGGCCCCACAAGGGTGCGTACTCAGCCCCCTCCTGTACTCCCTGTTCACCCATGACTGCGTGGCCACGCACGCCTCCAACTCAGTCATCAAGTTTGCAGACGACACAACAGTAGTAGGGCTGATTACCAACAATGACGAAACAGCCTACAGGGAGGAGGTGAGGGCCCTGGCAGAGTGGTGCCAGGAAAATAACCTCTCTCTCAACAAAACGAAGGAGCTGATCGTGGGCTTCAGGAAACAGCAGAGTGAGCACGCCCCTATCCACATCGACAGGACCGCAGTGGAGAAGTTCCTCGGTGTACACATCACTGACAATCTGAAATGGTCCACCCACACAGACAGTGTGGCGAAGAAGGCGCAACAGCGCCTCAGAAACCTGGTACAGAAACCTGGTACAGAAACTGCACCGCCCACAACCGCAGGGCTCTCCAGAGGCTGGTGGGGTCTGCCCAACGCATCACCGGGGACACACTGCCTGCCCTCCAGGACACCTACAGCACCCGATTTCACAGGAAGACCAAAAAGATAATCAAGGACATCAACCACCCAAGCCACGGCCTGTTCACCCCGCTATCATCCAGAAGGCGAGGTCAGTACAGGTGCATCAAAGCTGGGACCGAGAGACTGAAAAACAGCTTCTATCTCAAGGCCATCAGACTGTTAAATAGCCATCACTAGCCGGATATCACCCGGTTACTCAACCCTGCACCTTAGAGGCTGCTGCCCTATATACATAGACATGGAATCACTGGCCACTTTAATAATGGAACACTGGCCACTTTAATAATGTTTACATACTGCTTTACTCATCTCATATGTATATACTGTATTCTATACTACTGTATTTTAGTCAATGCCACTCTGACATTGCTCGTCCTAATATTTATATATTTCTTAATTACATTCTTTTACTTTGAGATTTGTGTGTATTGTTGTGAATTGTTAGATACTACTGCACTTTTGGAGCTAGGAACACAAGCATTTCGCTACACCCGCAATAACATCTGCTAAATATGTGTATGTGACCAATACAATTTGATTTGATTTGAAGTTTGCTGGATGTCCTTTGGGTGGTGGTCCATTCTTGATACACACTGGAAATTGTTGAGCGTGAAAAACCCAGCGGCGTTGCAGTTCTTGACACAAACCGGTGCGCCTGGCACCTACTACCATACCCCGTCCAAAGGCACTTAAATCTTTTGTCTTGCCCATTCACCCGCTGAATGGCACACGTACACAATCCAGGTCTCAATTGTCTCAAGGCTTCAAAATCCTTCTTTAACCCGTCTCCTCCCCTTCATATACACTGACTGAAGTGGATTTAACAAGTGACATCAATAAGGGATCATAGCTTTCACCTGGATTCACCTGGTCAGGCTATGTCATGTTCCTAATGTTTTGTCCACTCAGAGTTTATGTGCTTATATACATACTTTTGGTCTCTGGTCTCTACAATGCCAATGATCTCTTCCAGCGACAAAGTCATTGTTTCAGTATTATAGATGTTTAGTCGATCACAATCTTTAAATTTATCTGTTTTTTCCCCTCTTCTTCGCAGGTCTACGATCAATCTCCACATCATGACGACCTCAACCCTGACTCCTCCTCACACTCCTCCTCCTGCGGCGAACAACAGGCGAGCAACAGTTCACCCGACACGTGGAACACCAATGGAATGGATCAGACTGGCTACAGAGGAATGGGAGGGTCTTCAGCCCACCAATCAGGGTGCTACAGTAACCCGCAACCATCACATAATCACCTGGTAAGTAAATAGTTCATTTGTCGTATGATTACTCACATTAAAAACAGTCAGAAAGTTTGGGACAAATATGTAGGAATATACTGTATACACACTGAGTATACAAAGCATTAGGAACACCTTCCTAATATTGAGTTGCACCCCCCTTTTGCCTTCGGAACAGCCTCAATTCGTCGTGGGCATGGACTCTACAAGGTGTTGAACGCGTTCCACAGGGATGCTGGTCCATGTTGACTCCAATGCTTCCCACAGTTGGCTGGATGTCCTTTGGTTGGTGGACCGTTCTTGATACACACAGTAAACTGTTGAGTGTGAAAAACCCAGCAGCGTTGCAGTTCTTGACACACTCAAACCGGTGTGCCTGGCACCTACTACAATACCCTGTTCAAAGGCACAAATATTTGGTCTTGCCCATTCACCCTCTGAATGGCACACGTACACAATCCATGTCTCAAGGCTTAATATTTCCTTCTTTAACCCGTCTCCTCCCCTTCATCTACACTGATTGAAGTGGATTTAACAAGTGACATCAATAAGGGATCATAGATGTCACCTGGACTCACCTGGTCAGTCTATGTCATGGAAATATGTTTCTGATGTTTTGTCCACTCAGTGTATATATATGTACTGTAAAGTGCTGCACCGTCACCAAGACAAATGTAACATGTGTATGTTTGGTTGTTTTGCAGGTCTATTCTCCCCATTCAGTCTCACCTGTAGAGGTGAACAGGGGTCTTCCTCCCATGTCTACCTTCCACCGTAACGACCCTGCTTCATCTCACTCCCTGTCAGCCGACAGCTCAGATAACTCCACAGGAAACCCCGCTACAGGAGGGTCTCAGACTGGAGCAGCCCTGGGGAAAGCACTGGCTTCTGTATGTACTGGGACTGCTTACAAAGCCAACTTCAAAGTGAAGAGACATTTTCTCTAGCCACAATGACAAATAGGGAAATGTCCCTAGTGCAACAGACCACTGCGTGCCGTTATTATTAACCCAGCCCTGGGCCATGCTGCTGGGCTGCTTGTTGACCGTCTATCCAACCAGTCAAATATTATTTAGTCAGCTCGGGTTACGAGCCACGCTACTGAGGTGGTGGTTGTAAAACCGCACAGAGAAATGACAAGGGATGCTTTTATAATGATGCATGGAGTTGCTACTCACGGTCCTCTACCCCTCCTCTACCCCTCCTCTACCCCTCCTCTACCCCTCCTCTACCCCTCCTCTACCCCTCCTCTATCCCTCCCCTACCCCTCCTCTATCCCTCCTCTACCCCTCCTCTACCCCTCCCTCTACCCCTCCTCTATCCCTCCTCTACCCCTCCTCTATCCCTCCCCTACACCCTCCTCTATCCTCCCTACCCCTCCCCCTAAAACCCTCCTACACCCCTCCCTATAACACCCACACCCTAACACCCCCCCTACCTCCCTACCCCTCCCACCCCTCCCTAACCACACCGCTAACACACCCTCTACCCGCCCCTCCTACTACCCCTCCTCACCCCACCCCCCGAACCCCTACCCCTCCATACACCCCCCACGAACCCTCCACCGTACATCGCACCCTCAGCCAATACCAACCCTCCCTACCTTCGACCCCCACCTCACCCCCCCCCCCCACACCCCCCCCACCACCCCGTACTAATCCCTCCCATCACCCCCCCTACCCACCGAACCCCTACCCACCCACGCACCTCCTCACCCCCACGCCTAACCCACTCTACCGCCTACCTCATACCCCATCACTCTATCCCCTCCTCACCATACCCCTTGACCCCCCTACCCCTCCCTACCCATCCTCTACCCCTCCTCTATCCCCGCTCTACGCCCTCCTCTAACCTAACCCCTCCTCTATTCACCGTCCCTACCCCTCAATCCTCCTCTACCCCTCTCGACCCCTCCTCTCCTCTACCTCTCCTCTACACCCTCCTCTATCCCCTCTCTCTCCCTTCTCTCTCCTCCTCTACCTTTCTTCTTTCTCTTATCCTCTATCTCTTCTTCTTCTTCTTCTTCTTCTTCTTCTTCTTCTTCTTCTTCTTCTTCTTCTTCTTCTTTTCCGCCTCTCCTCTTCTGTCTGTCTGTGTTCAGATCTATTCTCCTGACTACACCAGCAGCAGTGAAAACTCCTCCACACCAGAGAGGTCTCCATCTCCACACACAGGGTCTGCAACTGGTCCCCCAGCTAACCAGTGGCGCACGTCCGCTCAGGCGTCTCTCTCCCCCAGCTACGAGTCTTCTCCTATATCACTGGTAAGGACATGGAGCTCTGTGACATCATCTTTGTGAGTTTGATAGGTCACGGAGACTGTTCAAATACTGTACTCACACATTCTATCATTGATTTTGTCTGCTGGAGTCACATTTTTTGTAAATGCTGCTGTCTTTGAATTGATCCAACTCATCTGAAACATATCTTATTTTAATTTAGCCTCAATCACTGTAATGTTTCATTCTCATCATAACAATAACACCCCCTCACTCCCTCCCTCCCCCTCCCCTGTCTCTCTAGTCTCAGTTGGAGGATCGTCTAGACAGACTGGATGATGTGATCTATGTTCTGCATAACCATGCGGCGGGACCCATCCCCAGCCTGCCCTCTGACATCCACAGCCTGTTGAACCAGGCTCACCATGGACACAGTCACAGCACCCCGCTAACAGGCGCACACCATGGACACAGTCACAGCACCCCGCTAACAGGTGCACACCATGGACACAGACCCACCGTAGCACATGACACAGCCATGGTGAGACCCATTCATTACTTTTGAAAGTGTTTCAGGTTGTGTCTGTTTTATGTATGGGAAGTGTGCCGGGAAAGGCTATTGGTGTGTGTGTGTGTGTGTGTGTGTGTGTGTGTGTGTGTGTGTGTGTGTGTGTGTGTGTGTGTGTGTGTGTGTGTGGGTGTGTGCAGGGTTTGGTTTGGTAGGTAAATTTCTAAATGTAATCCGTTACAGTTACTAGTTACCTGTCCAAAATTGTAATCAGTAACGTAATTTTTGGATTACCCAAACTCAGTAACATCATCTGATTACTTTCAGTTACTTTTGGATGACTTTCCCCTTAAGAGGCATTAGAAGAAGACTAAAAGGATCCATCAAACTCATTTGTTGTGTCATCATAGTGGTCTCTGATTGGTGGTCATCATTTGGTATGTCATCATAGTGGTCTCTGATTGGTGGTCATCATTTGGTGTGTCATCATAGTGGTCTCTGATTGGTGGTCATCATTTGGTGTGTCATCATAGTGGTGGTCTCTGACTTGTGGTCAGACTCAGGTGGAAAAACTTAAACTTCTGTTTTTTTTCCAATGCTTAATTGAATGTCATTGAGAAAACAGAAATCTGTGTGTGCCCTGCCACCACTGCTCTACCAATCACACCAGACACACTCCAGCTATGGTACGCATATTTTCCACATGTCATTTTGACATATTTTCCACATGTCATTTCGACATATTTTCCATGTCATTGTCATTCCTGACATATTTTCCATAGCGGGAGGGTTTTTTCTTCTGGAAATAGAGAACAATGGGGAATGCCGCATTTAATTTAATTTGCTGCGGGTCTGAAAAGTCTATCTATGTGTGGATACTGACCAGGTAACGGTACGGACAGGAGGAAGGGCACTGCCTCCACCATGACACTTACACAGCAGTGTCAGACCTGGGTTCAAATAGCATTTGTTTTCTCTCAAATATTCTAACTGCGCTTGATTGATATTGCCTGGTATAGTGGAGCCAATAGAATAGTTCCAAAAAGTGCAAACCCTGCCCGTCTGGCACTTCAGGCAGTCTCAATCAAATGCTTAAAGTGTTTGAAAGAAAACAAATACTTTTTGAACCCTGGTCTGTGTGTTAGGCCTACTCAGACAGAGGACAGAGTAATGAGAGTAGGCCTACATTACATTAAGAGGATATGAGGCCGTTTACTCTAATCCCTAGGAGGGGTATTCAATTCATTCAGTCACTTTTTATTTTACAGGGATATGTGTCAGTTTAAAAATGAATCATTCCTGAAAGGAATTAAGGGTATGTTTAGGGGAGTCATGAGGGAGGGATTGGGATTTTTCTCTGAATCCAATTCATTCTGTGAGAGAAACAGATCTATTTGTGGAAAATGGAAGGTTGTTGGTTTAGTTACCTATTTGTCATTGGGGGTAGCGTCAAGGAAATGTTACATTTAGCAGACGCTCTTATCCAGAGCAATTAGGGTTAAGTGCCTTGCTCAAGGGCACATCAACAGATTTTTCACCTAGTCGGCTCGGGGATTAGAACCAGTGACCTTTCGGTTACTGGCACAACGCTCTTAACCACTAAGCTACCTGCCGCCCATACGTTGAAGGCAACGTATGTGTAATGTATTTTTTATATTGACTGTTTCCCCACTAAGTAGATGATAATGAAATACACTACATGACCAACAGTATGTGGACACCTGCTCGTCGAACATCTCATTCCAAAATCATGGTCATTGATATAGAGTTGGTCCCCCCCCCTTTGCTGCTATGACAGCCTCCACTCTTCTGGGAAGGTTTTCCACTAGATGTTGAGCCATTGCTGCGGGGTCTTGCTTCCATTCAGCCGCAAGATGGCGCCGACAGACATGGCAGCTCTGCCTCTAGCTCCTAAGCAACTTTTGCAGTATTTTGTTTTTGTGTGTGTTATTTCTTACGTTATTAGCTCAGAACGTTTTTTTGTGTTATTACATACAGCCGGAAATAACTTTTGGATATCAGAGCGGCGGTAACTGTTCCAAGATGCAGTCGGCGGAGAAGAGGTATTCGGAGTGGACTTCTAGTCCGACTCAGGAGGCGTGCACACCATCCATCGCTTCCGAATATATTACTCGCTAATGTTCAGTCTCTGGACAATAAAGTAGACGAACTCAGGGCGAGGATCTCCTTCCAGAGAGACATCAGGGACTGTAACATACTCTGTTTCACGGAATCATGGCTCTCTCCGGATATACTGTCCCCGTCCATACAGCCAGCTGGGTTCTCAGTACATCGCGCAGACAGGAATAAAGAACTCTCCGGGAAGAAGAAAGGCAGTGGTGTATGTTTCATGATTAACTACTAATGGTGTGATTGTGATAACATACAGAAACTCAAGTCCTTTTGTTCACCCAACCTAGAATACCTCACAATCAAATGCTGACCGTATTACCTCCCAAGAGAATTCTCTTCAGTTATAGTCACAGCCGTGTATATTCCCCCTCAAGCTGATACCACGACTGGAAACCACATATCCTGAGGCCGCATTTATTGTAGCTGGGGATTTTAACAAAGCAAATTTGTGACTTGTTTCAGGAAACTAAGGCGTATGTCGCGGGTCACTACTTCACAGGAGAGCCATTTGAACATAAACCTTTTTTTTTAAATCAAAATGTGTTTCTTGGCAGAAATGCCTTCTGGAACATGTGAACTTTCATGTGCCTTAATAATAAACTTGTATGCAATCTGTAAATATAAATAAAATTGTTAAATTACGATCCTAGTTGGTTAAGCCACAGAAAAAGACAGCAAACTTCCCACTAGCCATGATTGGCTGAGATAATGAGTGGGCTGGACATGCCGAGAGAGGAGTTCGGATTGGTCTGCCATATAGAAGGCTTCTGTCTATTTGAGCTGGTCATTATGTGTAGGTAATCCTGTCTAACACTGCTTTTTTTTTATGTATCGTGTAGTGGAGCTGCATAAGTGTTTTGAAATCGGTGGAATTAGAGTATGATAGCTAAAGAGATGGAGATAACACCTGTCTCCGGATTACATCTTCAAACTAAGGGCAACCATGGCAACCGTGACAGGGAGACGCGTCCATCATGCATGATGTATACGGGTCAGATAGTCTAGCTAGCTACATTTTCAGATATTACACGTTTCTAATTTTGACAGAAAGTGGTTTCATTTCAAGTGTAATGTTAGCTAGCTAGCTAACGTTAGCTGGCTGGCTCGCTAGTTAAGGTTACGTGTATGATCTTATTATTTGTATATCAGAGCCATTTGCTTGCTAACATTGCACCTGGTTGGTTAGCTACCTGCAGATTCATGCAGGGTAGTAAAGTCATGAGTTAGGATTATGGTTCATTGTTTAACTAGCTAACGTTAGCTGGCTGGCTCGCTAGCTAACGTTACGTGTATGATGTTATTATTCATATCTCAGAGCCGTTTGCTTGGTTAGTTAGAGCCTAATGTTAGCTAGCTAACATTGAACATGGTTGGTTACCTACCAGCAGATTCGTCAGGGTAGTAACGTCATGAGTTAGCACTATGGTTCATTGTTTAACTAGCTAACGTTAGCTGGCTGGCTCGCTAGCTAACGTTACGTGTATGATGTTATTATTCGTGTCTCAGAGCCATTTGCTTGGCTAGTTAGAGCCTAATGTTAGCTAGCTAACATCGAACCTGGTTGGTTAGCTACCAGCAGATTCATGCAGGGTAGTAACGTCATGAGTTGGGATTTTGGGACATTGTTTAGCTAGGTAGCTAACGTTAGCTGGCTGGCTCGCTTGCTAACGTTACGTGACGTGTATGATCTTACAAGTTGTTTACCTAGCTAGCTAGCTACATATCTTAACAAAAGACTCCACTATGCAAGTAACCATTTCGGGTGCGTTCGTAAATTCAATCTGAGTATGCCAGAGCGCAGAATAACTGATGAATTTACGAACGCACAACACCCGTTGAATATGGCCATTGTCAGTAAACGTCGGCAAAAAGGTGTCATTAAATTGTTGCCAGCAGAGCTGGTTAGGCTGTTTTCATGTTATCCAGAGGTAAACAATGAACCATAATCCCAATTTTGTGTCTGAAAGTAAATAGCAAGCTAGCCAATGTTAGCCAGTTAGCTTGGGTGCTTGACTACCGTTGTGAGGTCAGAACACTCGGATCAACCTTACTTATCGGCCAGAGCGTCAAGTGTGCGCTCTGAACGCTCCGAGAGCGAAACGAGATGGGTGGGGCTAAAGCTTAAGAGGGTGTGAACGATGCTGAATGGGTGTAGATAAAGAAAAGCTCTTCACTAGGTACCAAAACATTCAAAGGCCATTTTCTCAAAAGTGAGACTACAAGTTTATCAACATTCAAAGCAGAATTACTTTCCCATTGTTCCATTAAATGCAGTGTATGATATACCATTTTGTAGCTCTGTGTCTCTGCTTTTTTTCCAATGTAAAAAACACAATTTCAAATTTTGCTACATAAAACCGAATCAAGGCGGTTGGTCACATTTGAGGAAAACGCTACCAAAGTTCTAACAACACATTGACTGTAGTAGTCGCTCTGGTAAAACACTCGACCACTGCTACTCCCCCTTTCGAAAGGCCTACAAGGCCCTCCCCCGCTCTCCCTTCGGCAAATCAGATCACGACTCCATTTTGCTCCTCCCTTCCTATAGGCAGAAACTCAAACAGGAAGTACCCGTGCTAAGGTCTATTCAACGCTGGTCTGACCAATCGGAATCCATGTTTAAAGATTGTTTTGATCACACGGACTGGGATATGTTCCGGGTAGCCTCTGAGAATAACATTGACGTATACACGGACACGGTGACTGAGTTCATCAGGAAGTGTATAGGGGATGTTGTTCCCACTGTGACTATTAAAACCTACCCAAACCAGAAACTGTGGATAGATGGCAGCATTCGCGCAAAACTGAAAACCATGGCAAGGTGACTGGGAATATGGTTGAATACAAACCTTCTTCGCCCGCTTTGAGGATAACACAGTGCCATCGACGCAGCCCACTCCCAAGGACTGTGGGCTCTCGTTCTCCGTGGTCAATGTGAAAAAGAGATTTAAGCGTGTTAACCCTCGCAAGGCTGCCGGCCCAGACGGCATCCCTAGCCGCGTCCTCAGAGCATGCGCAGACCAGCTGGCTGGAGTGTTTACGGACATATTCAATCTCTCCCTATCCCAGTCTGCTGTCCCCACTTGCTTGAAGATGTCCACCATTGTTCCTGTACCCAAGAAAGAAAAGGTAACTGAACTAAATTACTATTGCCCCCTAGCACTAACTTCTGTCATCATGAAGTGCTTTGAGAGGCTAGTTAAGGATCATATCATATCTACCTTACCTGACACCCTAGACCCACTTCAATTTGCTTACCGCCCCAATAGATCCACAGACCATGCAATCGCCATTGCACTGCACACTGCCCTATCCCATCTGGACAAGAGGAATACCTATGTAAGAATGCTGTTTATTGACTATAGCTCAGCCTTCAACCCCATAGTACCCTCCAAGCTCATCATTAAGCTCGGGGCCCTGGGTCTGAACCCCGCCCTGTGCAACTGGGTCCTGGACTTCCTGACGGGCTGCCCCCAGGTGGTGAAGGTAGGAAACAACATCTCCACTTCACTGATCCTCAACACTGGGGCCCCACAAGGGTGCGTGCTCAGCCCCCTCCTGTACTCCCTGTTCACCCATGACCGCGTGGCCAAGCGTGCCTCCAACTCGATCATCAAGTTTGCAGACGACACAACAGTAGTAGGCTTGATTACCAACAATGACGAGGCAGCCTACAGGGAGGAGGTGAGGGCTCTGGTGGAGTGGTGCCAGGAAAATAACCTCTCCCTCAACGTGGAGAAGGTGGAAAAGCCTCAAGTTCCTCGGTGTACACATCACTGACAATCTGAAATGGTCCACCCACACAGACAGTGTGGTGAAGAAGGCGCAACAGCGCCTCTTCAACCTCAGGAGGCTGAAGAAATTTGGCTTGGCCCTTAAGACCCTCAGAAACTTTTACAGATGCACAATTGAGAGCATCCTGTCGGGCTGTATGCTGTAGCGTTAAGATTTCCCTTCCCTTGAACTAAGGGGCCTAGCCCCAGACCATTATTCCTCTTCCACCAAACTTTACAGTTGGCACTATGCATTCCGGCAGGTACTGTTCTCCTGGCATCCGCCAAACCCAGATTCGACCGTCGGACTGCCAGTTGGTGAAGCGTGATTCACCACTCCAGAGAACACGTTTCCACTGCTCCAGAGTCCAATGGCGGCGAGCTTTACACCACTCCAGCCGACGCTTGGCGTTGCGCATGGTGATCTTAGGCTTGTGTGCGGCTTCTCGGCCATGGAAACCCATTTCATGAAGCTCCCGACGTACAATTATTGTGCTGACGTTGCTTCCAGAGGCAGTTTAGAACTGAGTGTTGCAACCGAGGACAGACGATTTTTACGCGCTACGCGCTTCAGCACACGGCGGTCCTGTTCTGTGAGCTTGTGTGGCTTACCACTTCGCGGCTGAGCCGTTGTTGCTCCTAGACGTTTCCACTTCACAATAACAGCACTTACAGTTGACCGGGGCAGCTCTGGCAGGGCAGAACATTTACAAACTTACTTGTTGGAAAGGTGGCATCCTATGACGGTGCCACATTGAAAGTCACTGAGCTCTTCGGTACGGGCCATTTTACTGCCAATGTTTGTCTATGGAGATTGCATGTCTGTGTGCTTGATTTTATACACCTGTCAGCAACGGGTGTGGCTGAAATAGCCGAATCCACTCATTTGAAGGGCCATGTAGTGTATGTGTATATTTATGCCACCTATTCTCTTGTGTGTGTACAGGTAGAGGCTGTCAATCTGAACAACAACAACCACCCTGCGCTCCAGAGCCGTTCACTTAATAAAAATGGCCGCTCCTTCGTAGCGGGTCTCCCGGCAGGACTAGGTGGCTTGGAGCTGAAGTTGGAGGGTCTGGAGGATGTTGAGCAGTATGAGCTTCATCACAGCCATCACAACCAGCAGGGTCACAGACACAGCTCTGACAGCCACAGCCAGCGCTCCGACGAGGAGAACGAGTCACACAAGACACAAGGAGACAGCATGACCAGGTGAGGACAGCAAAAAACAGCTTTATACTCTCTGTCTCTTTGCCTCTAGACTGGTCCCAGATCAGCTTTATGCTCTCTGTCTCTCTGCCTCTAGACTGGTCCCAGATCAGCTTTATACTCTGTCTCTCTGCCTCTAGACTGGTCCCAGATCAGCTTTATACTCTGTCTCTCTGCCTCTAGCTTGGTCCCAGATCAGCTTTATACTCTCTCTCTCTGCCTCTAGACTGGTCCCAGATCAGCTTTATACTCTCTGTCTCTCTGCCTCTAGCCTGGTCTCAGATCAGCTTTATGCTCTCTTTATCTGCCTCTAGCCTGATCCCAGATCAGTTTGTGCTGTCTTGTCAGAGTTGGCAAGATATAATTATTATTATAGCTATTCTCCCTCTACCCAGCGGGGGACATAGTTGTTATGACATCATTTCAACAAGCTTTGCCTGCTGGCTGGGTAGCTGCCTATCTATCTGTTTGAGTGGTAAAAACTGGTAATGAATTCAATATTCAACTAGATTAATTTTTTTAATGATCAGAAGAAGAGATAGTTCCTGTAGTTCCAACTCAACCCCACTAAAATATCCAAAGTGTTCAAAGAATTCCCACCAGAGGGCGCCACATAGCAACTGCCAATTCTAGTACCGACCCCCACTTTCTTTTCTCCCTTTCAGCAGCATCCACGAGGACGAGGATAACCTGAGTCCAGAGCAGAGGGCTGAGCGGGAGCGGGAGCGGCGGATGGCTAACAACGCCCGCGAGCGCCTTCGGGTCCGTGACATCAACGAGGCGTTCAAAGAGCTGGGTCACATGACACAGCTGCACCTGAAGAGCGAGAAGCCTCAGACTAAGCTGCTTGTCTTACACCAGGCCGTGGCTGTAATACTTAGTCTAGAGCAACAGGTCAGAGGTCAGTACTGCTGCCATCTTGAACAGGTCTCTCTTGCAAAATAGATTATGGCTATTTCTTAATGAATCTTTCCTCGCATTCTCTCTCCTCGGCTCCTTCTCAAAACACATTGGAGGAGAAGGTCTGAGGAGAGGGACATTGTATCTTCTCTTCCAATAAGATTGAGAAGGAGATTAAGAAAATATAGAAATATAGTTATTATCTAATAACCTGTATAAATAAAGGTTGAATGAGTAAGTACTTCACTACAGTGGAACATGAATCGATGGGAGGGGCTGCGTAGAAGAGGATACGTCCTGGTTCCCTGGCTGGTCTATGAGACAGTACTAACGTTGATGTCCTGGTTCCCTCGCTGGTCTATGAGACAGTACTAACGTTGATGTCCTGGTTCCCTGGCTGGTCTATGAGACAGTACTAACGTTGATGTCCTGGTTCCCTCGCTGGTCTATGAGACAGTACTAACGTTGATGTCCTGGTTCCCTGGCTGGTCTATGAGACAGTACTAACGTTGATGTCCTGGTTCCCTGGCTGGTCTATGAGACAGTACTAACGTTGATGTCCTGGTTCCCTGGCTGGTCTATGAGACAGTACTAACGTTGATGTCCTGGTTCCCTGGCTGGTCTATGAGACAGTACTAACGTTGATGTCCTGGTTCCCTGGCTGGTCTATGAGACAGTACTAACGTTGATGTCCTGGTTCCCTGGCTGGTCTACGGGACAGTCCTAACGTTGATGTCCTGGTTCCCTGTCTGGTCTACGGGACAGTACTAATGTTGATGTCCGTGTGATCTGCTACCTCTAGAGCGTAACCTGAACCCCAAGGCAGCCTGTCTGAGGAGGAGGGAGCAGGAGAATACGTCAGCTGGGTTAACGGACGCCCAGGGCCTGCATCAACACCAGGCATCACTACATCCTGGACTAGAGGCAGCTAACCCCATGGGACATCATCTCTAAACACCTAAAACAGGTACAGTACAAATATCTCTTCTTCTTCTTCTTCTTCTTCTTCTTCTTCTTCTTCTTCTTCTTCTTCTTCTTCTTCTTCTTCTTCTTCTTCTTGTTCTTGTTCTTGTTCTTCTTGTTCTTGTTCTTCTTCTTGTTCTTCTTGTTCTTGTTCTTCTTCTTGTTGTTCTTCTTCTTGTTCTTGTTCTTGTTCTTGTTCTTGTTCTTGTTCTTGTTCTTGTTCTTGTTCTTGTTCTTGTTCTTGTTCTTCTTCTATAGCGTGTTGATCCAAGTTGAATAATCCATATTGTGAGAACATTACAACCCATTTTTCTTTCTTTCTACAGATGAAGTGAAGGAGGAGGATCATCTCCAGATGGTGAAAGACCATCCAATGACGTTCAGTGTTATCTCTAGGACCCGGTAGTGAAGAAACTGAAGGTTTTTCGGTGTATGGGAAAAGTGTTGCAGCAGCTAATTAACCATGATAGTAGTGACAATTTCCTCCTAACCATCCTGATCGACTTTCACCTGTGCCTAAACTTACTTGTAACCAGCAAATGTTTTGTACAATATGTTTTATATTCGTTAGTACAGTGAAAGAAAAAAAAACAAAGCACTGTCTTGTGTAAAACAACGTTTATTTCATATTTTTACTCTCCTCTGCCGTACAGCATTTACTGCAATGCAGCCTCCGCAGAAGTCAGAGCATTCATAGTTGTTGAGCTTCGAGGAGCTGTCATACGCATCCAATAAATTGGTCTGAACCGCACCACTCGTAGTGAATCAGGGCTAATCTCTATAGCCATCCAGCGAATTACAAGCAACTGGCTAAACGAAAAGACAGGACCTTACCTCCTCTGAGATGTTGGCATCTGTTTCCCAGTGTTTGACATAGGAGCTCAGCCAAGATAGCATGAGGTAAAAAGGCTGCGTCTCCATCCCGAATCTCCCCATCGCCCCCCAAGCAAAATGTGCCTATTGTTTACATGTGTATTTCACACTTTGTTGAAGAGTATAATGTTTGTATTGATGTCAACCCCAATACATGTTCATGTCATCATCATCATCAACCAACTGCATTACAGTTAAAAACTACTTTGACTACCACCACCGATTTCTGTATGCTAGCTATGCTACCAGTTTATACGAATGGGAGTTAGCATTTAGCAGTCACTTTTTATAAACCTGAAAAGGGACAACTTACATTTTTACATTTTACATTTTAGTCATTTAGCAGATGCCCTTATCCAGAGCGACTTACAGTTAGTGAGTGCATACATTTTTTTTTTCATACTGGTCCCCCGTGGGAATCGAACCCACACACCTGCCATAAAATTATGTAACTTCTAAATGTTATGCAACGAAAAACTGCCAAATATATCCAAATCGGATTTTAGTAACCACATTGTGGGCCTGTTACAATACATCAATCATGACGAATTTGGCAAATATCCTCTTTGTTCGATCAGATTTGTTGAATGTGTGCCAATTCAGCATCCTTCTATCCTCCAGCATTCCATTGACCTCTTTACTACATATATCCCCATTACCGCCCCGATCTCTTTCCAGGAGTTCAAACTAATTATTGTGTCTTTGAAATCCCTACACGAGGTATCGTAAATATGTTTTTTTATTTGTGAACTTGTTCTGATAGCCTTTTCGTCAACGTTTTTTTTTTTTGGCAAGGAAGTTGGCAAGGAAGTGAGTTTGTGTTTATACAGGATGTACCACCCCACCTACCGTCAACCAATCATGTCAATGCAGAACTATATGGAGCTGTGCGGATCACTCCGCATTGTTACAAAATTTGGGAGGCGCATGGCATCGCCGTACGGAGCTCAATTTGGCCTCCGCAAGCCTCCGGAGGCACCGCAATTGAGTCACGCCCTCCATATGGAGCCTCTGGGCCGCATGCCAGATCAAGCATAAATTGTCTTTAAGGCTGATACAAGCTTATATCAGCCTTAAAGACAATTTATGCTTGCTCCAGCAATATGATCTGGAGGTTCTGTGCAGAGGGTGTGAGGCAATGGTGGAGCCTCCGGAGGCTTGCAGTGGCCAAATCGATCTCCGTACCACATCACTGTGCGCCTCCCAAATGTTTTAAACAACGCAGAGGGCTCCATATAGCTCCACATTTTACATGATTGGTTGACGGTAGGTGAGGGCGGGAGTTCCTGTATAAACACAAAACTCACTTCCTTGACAACTTCCTTCACAACAGTTCTGCGCTGCTCCGCAAAGTGAAGCACAAGAAGTGTGAACGCCCTGACTTCTGCAGAGACCGTATCAGAGTAAAGGCTGCACGGCCACTGCAGATGTCGGATTGACCATGCAGAGCCTTTTAGTTGTATGTACAAGCTAGTGCTTAGGCAGAGTCCACATTTTTGGAGCTAAATGCACATTTTGCTTAGCTACAGATGGATTAATACTTTAATTGAAAATATTGAATACTTGTTACTAACTTTTTGTAGTTTATATTTTCTACAATTACTAATAATATCTGAATTACAGATCTTTAATTTTAAACAAAAAATTTGTTTATGTCACATATTTTAACAGACACTGTAAATAATGATGCCCTAAACAATCCAGTGTATATTGGAGAGTTCCATAATGGGGGATGTCTTTGTAAAACCCATATCTTTCAGTTATGTACTGTTATGTTGATGAGCGTCACATATGTCATCTACAGTAAATGTAAACCATAAAATGATGTAGCGAAAAATGTTTTTTTAAGATATCATAAGTATTTCTTATTTTTCAGAGAAAAAAAAAATTCTCAGAAAAGACATACGGTATGTATAATTCGAGGAGTTAACGATAATGATGACGATGAACACCTGCGCCATTTGGTGAATGGCTGGACAATTCCGCTAGGGGGAACACGTAGTTGTGAATAGAGACTGGAATGGGGAGGGGGAATCCCAAGCGCTATAAAACAGCTCCCACAACACTGTCACTTCAGCCAGGCACTACTTTAACAGAAATACGCGAATTTAGGTAAGAAAATCACACAGATTTGCGCACAGGAACACTTTTCTAAACTGTCTAACTGTTACTCGAACCAATTGCACAGTTAGTGCTTCATAAAGTGATTCTCGTTTTGGCATTGCCTGGGTAGGCTATTTTATCGTTCAAGAACATCACGTATGATGCGCTAGTAAAGGGAGAGTGGTGTTTTATTATCGGCTGGTAAAACTGCGCAGACGATTATCCATGCATATATCCTTTGTCTTTAATTACAATCGTACAAATATATGTTGATAAAGTAGACACATTTTTGATATTGGTTAATTAAAAACGTTATGTTCTATTTATTTTCATTAAAGAAGTGTACTCCCACGGGGCAAAAACTGGTTTAATGTTGTTTCCACGTCATTTCAATCCCCCAAATCAAAGTGAAGACGTTGAATCAACGTGGAAAACTCAGTGGATTTGCAAAAAGTCATTTTGTATTTTTTTTTCACCTTAACTTTTAACCTACAGTTGAAGTTGGAAGTTTACATACACTTAGGTTGGAGTCATTAAAACTCGTTTTTCAACCACTCCACAAATTTCTTGTTAGCAAACTATAGTTTTGGCAAGTCGGTTAGGACATCTACTTTGTGCATGACACAAGTAATTTTTCCAACAATTGTTTACAGACAGATTATTTCACTTATAATTCACTGTATCACAATTCCAGTGGGTCAGAAGTTTACATACACTAAATTGACTGTGCCTTTAAACAGCTTGGAAAATTCCAGAAAATTATGTCATGGCTTTAGAAGCTTCTGATAGGCTAATTGACATCATTTGAGTCAATTGGAGGTGTACCTGTGGATGTATTTCAAGGCCTACTTTTTTGCTTGACATCATGGGAAAATCTAAATAAATCAGCCAAGACCTCAATTTCCAAACACCTGAAGGTACCACGTTCATCTGTACAAACAATAGTATGCAAGTATAAACACCATGGGACCATGCAGCCGTCATACCGCTCAGGAAGGAGACGCGTTCTGTCTCCTAGAGATTAACGTACTTTGGTGCGAAAAGTGCAAATCAATCCCAGAACAACAGCAAAGGACCTTATGAAGATGCTGGAGGAAACTGGTACAAAAGTATCTATATCCACAGTAAAACGAGTCCTATATCGACATAACCTGAAAGGCCGCTCAGCAAGGAAGAAGCCACTGCTCCAAAACTGCCATTAAAAAGCCAGACTACGGTTTGCAACTGCACATGGGGACAAAGATCGTACTTCTTGGAGAAATGTCCTCTGGTCTGATGAAACAATAATAGAACTGTTTAGCCATAATGACCATCGTTAGGTTTGGAGGAAAAAGGGGAAGCTTGCAAGCCGAAGAACACCATCCCAACCGTGAAGCACGGGGGTGGCAGCATCATGCTGTGGGGGTGCTTTGCTGCAGGAGGGACTGGTGCACTTCACAAAATAGATGGCATCATGAGGAAGGAAAATTATGTGGATATATTGAAGCAACATCTCAAGACATCAGTCAGGAAGTTAAAGCTTGGTCGCAAATGGGTCTTCCAAATGGACAATGACCCCAAGCATACTTCCAAAGTTGTGGCAAAATGTCTTAAGGACAACAAAGTCAAGGTATTGGAGTGGCCATCACAAAGCCCTGACCTCAATCCTATAGAAAATGTGTGGGCAGAACTGAAAAAGCGTATGCGAGCAAGGAGGCCTACAAACCTGACTCAGTTACACCAGCTCTGTCAGGAGGAATGGGCCAAAATTCACCCTACTTTTTGTGGGAAACTTGTGGAAGGCTACCTGAAACATTCTTAAAATAAAGTGGTGATCCTAACTGACCTAAGACAGGGAATCATTACTAGGATTAAATGTCAGGAATTGTGAAGTGAGTTTAAATGTATTTGGCTAAGGTGTATGTAAACTTCCAACTTCACCTGTAAATCCAATGACATGGTGAAATTTTTTTGTTTGTTGATTTCACGTTGAATTCACAATAGTTAACAACTCAACCAAATGTAAAACAAAACCTAGATGTTGAACTGACATCGGTGCCCAGTGGGCTGTAACAAGGTAACAACTGTCACCTATAATACAGTGCTTTTGCATGTTGTTTATTTCAATAACAATGTACATTGTTATAAAACAAACCTGTGTGTGTATTTTTTTTGGTTCAATAACTGATTTTCTCTCATAATCATGTCATCCACTGTAGACGATGACAGTCTGGTCGGAGTGTGTGTGTGGATGACAGAAGTCTGGTTGGAGCGACCACAGCCAGTGGTGGTCGTCATGCAGCAGTAGTGTCCTGTATACAATAGTTACACTGTTAGCACACTGAATAAACTGTTTTCTATGTCAATGTGATGTTGGTGTTTTCTCTGTCTGTGGCTTGCTGGTTAGTACAGCTGTCTGAGTGACATCAGAGGCTCTTGGGATGTCATCGTCAGTTGGTCCACATGACTCGTCTCTGTTTTGTAAACAGTCGCCTCGTCCACCTGATGCCACAGAAAGTGATGTGTTTTTCCCCTGGGGTAAACTGTTGCAAAGACAGGGTGGTTATTGGAGCCTCCAGGTTAAGAAGAGCCTTGGTGATGGTTAGTCAACTAATGAACAATCAGCTTCTAATGTGTTGTATTTGCGCCTTTATAGCTGTGAACCTCTTCAGTTCTGAGGGAGGTCCTCTGTTCATTCAGGACTAGTGTGGACCCAGCAAACACACAACCACCACACAACGTTGTCTCTAATTTTTTACATTTTAGTCATTAAGCTGTGAACGCTCTTATCAGAGCCTCTTCAGTATGAGGACATATTGTGTGGACTGCCCTCGGAACAAACCCACAACGCCTAGTCTTTGCATAGCGTGCTCTTATCCAACTGAGACTTACAGTTCTGAGGCATTCTCCTTTATCTGGACCTGTGGGCCAATGCAACCCCCCATGGGTTCCAACGTCCGGCTCTACAGAGCTACATCAGAGGCCATCTACCTGGACCACGTGACATTAGTGGCCAGCCCACTGGCTCACGCGGGCGGCTACGACAGAGCTGGATCTCACGAACCAGGACAGTGAGCCTTTGCCAGGACTTCGTGGAGGATGAATGGAGTCAAGAAGGAGCGAGTATGTTATCAGACTTATAGATATTATAGTATTATTAGTTATATGATTATGATTGATATTTAGTATTATATATATTATATATGTAGTTATTATTATTATTATTATGATATTATTATTATTAATTATTATTAGTATTATTATTATTTATTATTATTATTATTATTATTATTATTATTATTTATTATTATTTATTATTATTTATTATTATTATTATTTATTATTTATTATTTATTATTTATTATTTATTATTATTATTATTATTATTTATTATTATTATTATTATTATTATTATTATTATTATTATTATTATTATTTATTATTATTATTATTATTATTATTATTATTATAGAATACAACATGGCTACAACATGCAGCAGCCCAGACCTGGTCCCAGAGGCAGCCCTCGCCCTCACAGTGACAGCAGCATGTTTGGGGTGAGGATACAAGTCCAGGGGATTGGGGGGTCTTCCTTACGTTGTATTGAACAACGGGGATAGTAGAGCATCTCTGCCATCTGGTGGCCTGGAGAGCTACAGCAGGAACTGGGACCACCAGGAAGTGTCTGTCAACGCCCACAGCCAGTCTGATTACGCCTCCATGGTGAATGATAGGCCATCTCCATTAGGTAGTCCCTATGTGGAGCGCAGACTTTCCAACCACCAGGGGAAGTATGCTCTTGGCTGTTCTCTGACTGAGGTTAGGAAGGGTAGGGAGTCACAGAGGACTCATGCTGGCGTCCACCGCGTCCATGTTCGACTTCCAGGAGTCACATTTACAGCAGTCACAGAGGACCAATGCCGACGTCTAAGACGGTGTTGAACTTCCAGAGACACCCAGAGCTGCTGAAACCCTACGCCCCAGACAGGGACAGCCTCAGCCCCCTCCTCTTCTCCTCCACCCGAAGACTCTCTGTTCCCCCCACTCAGACAGCCTCTGTCCCTAGGCCAGGGACATCTCGCCATGGGGTCTCCAGAGTAAGGCAGGGGGCCACCCTGATCCAGACTGAAGGGTCTAGACCAGGACCAGCCAGGAGCCCTCTGCCTGCTGGGGGTGTAGAGAGGGCCCCCACCCCTGTCTCTTCCACCACCCAGACCCAATGCCCCAGGCCCTGCCCCGTGTCTCGGCCCCGGCTCTCCACCACTCTTCTTTGGCCACCTTACTAAGCCCTCCAAAACGAGGTCACCAACGTCCCCAGGAGATCCCTCAAACTCAGTGGACACAGAGCCCCATCTCCTCCGTAGGAGGCCTTATCAACCAGTTCGACAGACCCCAGCAGATGAGCCGAGCTGGGCCTAGGAGAGGGAGAATAGCCCCTGAGGACCGGAGGCGGCGTGGGCAGCAGACGACAGCGTCACTCAGATCAATCGGACCACTCCAGCCCTGCCTCGGCCGTCAGATGGGGCCAGGGGAGAGACTCCAGGCGGAGCCACCAGAGCCCCAGGGTCACCTTAAGGGGAGAGGGGCCAACGGACTCTCCACTCTGATGTTTAATAAACTACAGTGGAGAAGGCCTCCCTGACCAGATCCAGGTCTCTCAACCACACGGAGGAGGAGTCAGAGAGTGAAATTCAGGTAAAGAGATTAGCTTTAGAGGTTTACTCGGGTAAAGATAAGTTTTTACTTAATTCCTTCTAGGGAGTTTTTAACTGTGCTTTTACTTGCTCTTTGTGGGTCCCGGTCGGGTTACTGTAAAAATCCTACAATGTGATTTTCTGGATTTTTCTTTCTCAATTTGTCTGTCATAGTTGACGTGTACCTATGATGAAAATTACAGGCCTCTCTCATCTTTTTAAGTGGGAGAACTTGCACAATTGGTGGCTGACTAAATACTATTTTTCCCCACTGTAACTGGTATGTTGTTCTGTACAGTAGTTATATAACTGGTATGTTGTTCTGTACAGTAGTTATTTGACTGTGGTATGCTGGTGTCATTGAACTCATTGCGTCTGGTTTTGGTATTCCTTCAGGACCAATGATAAAACCTCCACCACTCAGAAGAAGGTGAACCTGATGTTGGACAGAATAAGCCAACTGAAGTGGAAGACTGCAGGGAACGTGGAGGAGGAGATCAGGGTGAGGTTGGATGACATGGCTCAGATGGTTGGTTGGACTGAGCTAGGGGATCCCCAGCCAGACATGGCTCAGATGGTTGGTTGGACTGAGCTAGGGGATCTCCAGCCAGACATGGCTCAGATGGTTGGCTGGACTGAGCTAGGGGATCCCCAGCCAAAACGTTTGAAAACCACTGCTCTAGTATACACAGATGGTTGAGACTGCCACATAGAAGCATTACGATCTTACTATCTTGTATGTTATACTAATGCATTCATATATTTGTAAATACCTATGTATTTCAGTGTAAAGGAAAGAAAAGTAAAGTTGGGTAACTTAATGTGTCTGTCTGTGAGGCGGGTTGTGATGAGAGTGTTGTTGGACCCGTTGTTGGACCTGTTGTAGGACCTGTTGTAGGACCTGTTGTTGGACCTGTTGTTGGACCTGTTGTTGGACCCGTTGTAGGACTATGCTGCTAAGGCCAAGGAGCTTCAGAAGAGAGGAGCAGAGGTGGAGAGAGAGGTGTCACAGCTGAAGACAGCTGGAGCATAAGACCATGCTACAGTACAACACAATACAGTACAGTACAATACAGTACAGTACAGTACAATACAGTACAACAGTACAGTACAGTACAATACAATACAGTACAGTACAATACAGTACAGTACAGTACAATACAATACAACACAGTACAGTACAATACAACACAGTACAGTACAATACAGTACAGTACAATACAGTACAGTACAATACAGTACAGTACAACAGTACAGTACAGTACATACAATACAATACAGTACAATACAGTACAACACAGTACAACACAGTACAGTACAATACAATACAGTACAATACAGTACAACACAGTACAGTACAATACAACACAGTACAGTACAATACAATACAGTACAATACAGTACAATACAATACAGTACAATACAGTACAACACAGTACAGTACAATACAACACAGTACAGTACAATACAATACAGTACAATACCAGTTACAGTACAATACAGTACAATTACAGTACAAACACCGTACAGTACAATACAGTACAGTACAATAACAACACTGTACAGTACAGTTACATACAGTACAACACAGTACGTACAATACAGTACAGTACAATACAACACTGTACAGTACAGTACATTACAGTACAGTACAATACAGTACAGTACAATACAACACTGTACAGTACAGTACAATACAGTACAGTACAGTACAACACAGTACAGTACAATACAGTACAGTACAATACAACACTGTACAGTACAGTACAATACAGTACAGTACAATACAGTACAGTACAATACAGTACTCCCAGCAGGAGATTTGTACTTGTTTTCTCCTTACGTACATGGAGTGACGGCCAGCTCGGACTCATTTCATCTTACTAGTACTGATTTTGCAGATGGCGTTATTTTTGGGGTGATCGTTAAATGTGGTTGTTTTACCTACTTTAGTTGAATGCACTGAGTGTGTATGTGTGTCCTGCAGCGTGGTCGGAGTCTGGCGGAGGTGTGTTACAAGGCACAGACAGACATGAAGACTGTTCAGGAGGAACTGGACAGGAGACAGGAAGAACTCTCCACATTGAAATTCAAAGTCAATTAACTAATAATAATCAAGGTGGATTATGGTCCTAAACCAAATCCCGAGCTGGCCGTCACAGGCTGGCTCAGGTGGAGGCGGAGCTTGAAGTCGCCATCGAGGAGGAAGAGCATTTCCACAAGTGCGTAGGGGTCTAGAAGTCATTTTGGGATTTGGTTTAGGACCATAATCCACCTTGATTATTATTAGTTAATTGACTTTGAATTTCAATGTGTTGGCATGCAGAAGGTTGTGAGTTTGATCCTAGGTTGGGAAAGACAAACGCTGTTATATTTTTTTCTACTAATATTCCACCCATCTCCTGTGTATTCTAACCTCCTCTCTCCCTGCTAGAGTAACACAGTGCTGAGCCAGGAGGAGGAGGAGGAGGAGGAGGAGGAGGAGGAGGAGGAGGAGGAGGAGGAGGAGGAGGAGAGAGGAGGAGGAGGAGGAGGAGGAGGAGGAGGGGGAGGAGGAGGAGGAGGATGAGGAGGAGAGAGGAGGCCTGGGGACAGGTGAATGAGCTGATGCAGGAGAGGGAGGAACTGAGGGAACAGGTACTGGAGCTGGATGTACTACAGTACCCATAATGCTCTGGACTACAGTACCCATAATGCTATGTACTACAGTACCCATAATGCTTTGTACTACAGTACCCATAATGCTCTGTACTACAGTACCCATAATGCTCTGTACTACAGTACCCATATTGATGTACTACAGAACCCATAATGATGTATGCAATACCATTAAATGCTATGTACTACAGTACCCATAACAATGTACTAAAGTACCCATAATGCTCTGTACTACATTACCCATAATGATCCTTAATAAATACAAATAATGTTGTATTACAAGACCCATAATGCTCTATACTACAGAACCCATAATGATCTACTACAATGCCCATAATGCTCTGTACAACATATCAGGGCCCATATTCATACAATGTCTCAGAGTAGGAGGACTGATCTAGGATCAATTGCCTCTTGTCCATTTAACATGATAGTAGTGTCCTGTCTCCTCACCGACCCAGGTGGGGGAGCTGGAGAGCAAGGTGGAGCAGCTGGAGAGCAAGGTGGAGGAGCTGGAGAGCAAGGTGGAGCAGCTCAACCTCGTCATCAAGGACTCCAAAACCCTGCGGAGACAGCTGGTGAAATGCATAGAGCAACTCAAGGTGAGGTAGAGAGAGGGAGCGAAAGACAATCAGAAAAAGAAAGCTCACACATTAAGACAATTATAGACTGAATGAATTTAGGCGACATGTGAAAATGCATTCCATATACAGTGATTCGCATTGGGGTCATTTACATGACCTTGGAACATGTTTTAAAACCCACATTTTATGCAAATGTCACTTAAATATGAATCATTGTTCATGTTTAGACAATTATTGTTTATATATCATGAATGGTTATTGACAATTTTCTACTATTACGTGGGGGACTCGCTGTTTATTATCTATGCATAGTCACTTTACCCCTACCTACAGTGAGGGAAAAAAGTATTTGATCCCCTGCTGATTTTGTACGTTTGCCCACTGAAAAAGAAATTATTTGTCTATAATTTTAATGGTAGGTTTATTTGAACAGTGAGAGACAGAATAACAACAAAAAATTCCAGAAAAACACATGTCAAAAATGTTATAAATTGATTTGCATTTTAATGAGGGAAATAAGTATTTGACCCCCTCTCAATCAGAAAGATTTCTGGCTCCCAGGTGTCTTTTATAAAGGTAACGAGCTGAGATAAGGAGCACATTCTTAAAGGGAGTGCTCCTAATCTCAGTTTGTTACCTGTATAAATGACACCTGTCCACAGAAGCAATTAATCAATCAGATTCCAAACTCTCCACCATGGCCAAGACCAAAGAGCTCTCCAAGGATGTCAGGGACAAGATTGTAGACCTACACAAGGCTGGAATAGGCTACAAGACCATCGCCAAGCAGCTTGGTGAGAAGGTGACAACAGTTGGTGCGATTATTCGCAAATGGAAGAAACACAAAATAACTGTCAATCTCCCTCGGCCTGGGGCTCCATGCAAGATCTCACCTCGTGGAGTTGCAATGATCATGAGAACGGTGAGGAATCAGCCCAGAACTACACAGGAGGATCTTGAAAATGATCTCAAGGCAGCTGGGACCATAGTCACCAAGAAAACAATTGGTAACACACTACGCCGTGAAGGACTGAAATCCTGCAGCGCCCGCAAGGTCCCCCTGCTCAAGAAAGCATATATACAGGCCCGTCTGAAGTTTGCCAATGAACATCTGAATGATTCAGAGGAGAACTGGGTGAAAGTGTTGTGGTCAGATGAGACCAAAATCAAGCTCTTTGGCATTAACTCAACTCGTTGTGTTTGGAAGAGGAGGAATGCTGCCTATGACCCCAAGAACACCATCCCCACCGTCAAACATGGAGGTGGAAACGTTATGCTTTGGGGGTGTTTTTCTGCTAAGGGGACAGGACAACTTCACCGCATCAAAGGGACGATGGACGGGGCCATGTACCGTCAACTCTTGGGTGAGAACCTCCTTCCATCAGCCAGGGCATTGAAAATGGGTCGTGGATGGGTATTCCAGCATGACAATGACCCAAAACACACGGCCAAGGCAACAAAGGAGTGGCTCAAGAAGAAGCACATTAAGGTCCTGGAGTGGCCTACCCAGTCTCCAGACCTTAATCCCATAGAAAATCTGTGGAGGGAGCTGAAGGTTCGAGTTGCCAAACGTCAGCCTCGAAACCTTAATGACTTGAAGAAGATCTGCAAAGAGGAGTGGGACAAAATCCCTCCTGAGATGTGTACAAACCTGGTGGCCAACTACAAGAAACGTCTGACCTCTGTGATTGCCAACAAGGGTTTTGCCACCAAGTACTAAGTCATGTTTTGCAGAGGGGTCAACTACTTATTTCCCTCATTAAAATGCAAATCAATTTATAACATTTTTGACATGAGTTTTTCTGGATTTTGTTGTTGTTATTCTGTCTCTCACTGTTCAAATAAACCTACCATTAAAATGATAGACTGATCATATCTTTGTCAGTGGGCAAACGTATAAAATCAGCAGGGGATCAAATACTTGTTATGTACCTAGCCTCCTGTAGCTCAGTTGGCTTGCAACGCCAGGGTTGTGGGTTCGATTCCCACGGGGGGCCAGTATGAAAAATGTATGCACTCACTAACTGTAAGTCGCTCTGGATAAGAGCGTCTGCTAAATGACTAAAATGTAAAATGTAATGTACAAATTACCTCGACTAACCTGTACCCCCGCACATTGACCCGGAACCCCCTGTATATAGCCTCGTTATTGTTATTTTATTGTGTAACTTTTTTTACTTTACTTTATTTAGTAAATATTTTCTTAACTCTATTTTCTTAACTGCATTGTTGGTTAAGGGCTTGTAAGTAAGCATTTCACGGTAAGGTCTACACCTGTTGTATTCGGCGTATGTAACAAATACAATTTGATTTATTTAGAACATTTACCAAAATTCTGTGACCCGGAATTATTATTTTTGTGTTGCTGATCATGTGATGAGTTCGCAAATCAAATGCCCACTTGTGCTGCCACTGGACAGCAAAAAACAAGTAAGTTAACGTTTATTTATTGTAATTTTAAATTTGTTTGTAGTAGGTAAGTGTTGCGTTAAATTACATACTGTAGCTACTGCAATCGTTATTTCAAATTAATTATGGTGACTTCACAGCAATTGCTAGCTAGCCGAAATGTAGCTAGCTAGCATGCTCAGCTAAATACAAATCCCCCTAGATACAGCCATGTCTAATGGTCACGTCACGAGATGTGTATTTGAAAGAGGAATATAATAATACAAATTAAATGCAGTTTCCATTCTCCCCATTTAGATTTTCTGGATCAGCACATAAATGCCCTCATCCAGACGGTGAGACAAAGGCGTTTCCTAACAGACCTGCTAACTTTCTTTGTTGTTACTTTTAAGGTCAGAACCAAGATGCAGTACCTCCAGCAGGAAGAGAGGCAAGAACCAATCGTCCTCCAGCTCAGGGTCAAGCTGCACTATTCACAGCCCTGTGTAATGTTACACGTAATTGCATTGCTGGACTTCATGTATTTGTATTGTTAAAAAAAAAAAGTACAAATAAAAGGAAACGTATGGTTTAAACATGTCTTTTAATGTTTTATTTGATTTAGCTGTTAGTGATAATTCCCTAAGTGTTAGTACAATTGTGTTTACATCATTAAGCCTTTGTGTTATAAATGACCAAAGGGGTCTGACTTTATAGCAAGTAGAGCGTCATGAGATATAGAGTCTTTATAGATGTGTTATGAATGACCGAAGGTGTCTCACGTCAAACTAAGTATTACAGGACACTACACAGTGTCAATAAACAGGTTATTAACGTTCTGTTGATTTTATGAAGGTTCTCTCATGATCCACAGGTTACTGTAGGGTGTGAGAGGTATTTAAATGGGTTGATGGAACTGCAAAGCTTGTGTGTGTGTGTGTGTGTGTGTGTGTGTGTGTGTGTGTGTGTGTGTGCGTGTGTGTGTGTGTGTGTGTGTGTGTGTGTGTGTGCGTGTGTGTGTGTGTGTGTTAGAAACTAGATGATTTGGAGTAGTCCAACCTGAGACCACCGTACCAGGCATTCCTCTTCTGTTCCCATGGAGACCAGGGCTTGATTACAACCTGTTACAATGGTGCCAACATGTTGTGGCTGATCTTTCAGCAGGGGGAGTGGGTGAATGTGTCAAAGACCTGACTGGGCCCAGCACCGCTCGCTATGGCTAGCTTTTGATGTGTGCTTGTTTGTGTACTGAGGAACATGTAACTTGGATCCAGAAGAAAGACACTTTCAATTTCTTTAGGTTGGGGGGCTTTCATCAAGGTAAGTGTTTCTTGGTGTAACGTCGTCCCCAGGCTATTGCACTCACAGCACATATAAGCCTGGGATATCAACCATTCAGAGATGGCCTTAGGGGGAGTGACCATAGAATTCTATAGGAGTGACCTCACTGAGTAAAGGATTTGTCATCGTCACTACTTAACACAGTCAAGTCATAATTACGGCTCAACCCCTGCCCATTTCCACAGTTTACCTTCTTAAAATGGGATTTTAAACCTAACCCTAACTAATGAAGGCCAAGGTTGATGAGTTGGTCCACCAGACCTTCATTTGGGGCAGAAGTGTCTGGGAACGAGATTAGGTGTATCGTGACTAACATGACATCACTTCAGAGCGTATGTCATCCTTCAGCACAACATGTCACCTTTTATAAAGCACACGTTTATATCATATTCCACATAGTGGGTTGTGTCACCTTTGACATCGGTGATTTTGTCACACAATTACGCCACATTTATGAACCCTTTATAAAGCATGACATATGGTTATAGATGCTTTGTAACATTTATGAAGGCTTTATGAAGGGATTATGAAGGCTTTATGAAGGCATTATGAAGGCTTTATGAAGGGATTATGAAGGCTTTATGAAGGGATTATGAAG